AGTTTATTTTTTTACGCACTTGGAGTGTTTCAGGAAGCAGTAAATAACAAAATGTGCAAAAAGAGAATTTTTTGCTTATGTCTTCTGTTGTAGATCAATTGTGCTTTGGTCCACCATATTTTTTCTAATTGGACATTTCTTCATCCTCATCCTACACAGGCTTTATTAAATGAAAAGTGCAAGAAAATTCCTAAGGCAGGGTAATGTTTTTCATAAAAAGTCAACCTTAAGCACATTGACCTTTCCCTATTGTCTGTTTTTCACCTGATTTAGAGAGCATATGTAGCTCATACCAGCAAAAATGCAGTCTTATTATTATTTTTTTGTGAGTCTATGTTAAATAGTTGGTGCTTTCTACATATCCTGCTGTGCTGTCAGAGTTTTAAACCAAAGGAGACATTCAAAGATAAGTTTGTGCAAGTATGCACTGGGTTCATGTTGACATACAGAAGGTTACTATGCCTTACTGTCGAATGTGCAGAGAATGTACAGACTACCACAGTCGACTTCCCACTGAGAGCAGCTGCATTCCTGACCTGCAGTTCAAAGAGCAAACGCACACACACACACACACACATACAAAGAGACCTACAAATACGTAAGCTGCACATGTTCTGCTTTTACACACGCAGGAATGTGTACCGACTCTCCTGCTTTAACCTCACACAGCAAACAAGCCAGATGACAAAAACACATGACGAGCCAGAAGTCAATGAGTTGACCTTTCAGTTTGTTCAGTCTTCTGCAAAAATTAAAGAGTCTGTTGCACACGGAATAACTAGTTCTCACTTTTACTTGTTTGCTCATTGTTTAAATATGCTTAGTATTTTTTTTTTAAATGCAATCCATTGATGTTTACGTTGGTGTCACTATGTGATTTCCAGTAATATATCAAAGGATTAATCAAGCTGTTTCCACTTTGTTATATTCTTAGGTTCATTTTTATGGGTTATAAATTCTGACTGGGTTTAGTTTTATTTGTTACCTTCTCCTAAAAGCAAATGATATTAATGTTGTTTTAAACATGAACTAAACTTTCAGTTTAGTTTTCAATTTATTATGATTTTTTGTTTCAGTGTGTATGTTTCAGTTAATCAGGTCAGAAAATGTTATTTTATATTAAATAGAGCCTTCAAAGGGTAATTGTGATTCACTTATCAAGATATAAGCTCTCAAAAACAACATGGCCCAAAGTGAAAACTTTCCTCCTACGGTAAATGTTTAATCACCTCCATGAAGTGCTTATGATAACGTCAATGAGTTTTCTACATTACCGTGGAAGAGTGAATCCCTGCTCTCCTGTTCAGAATAGTTTGGAAGGTTTTTTTTAAACATGAAAGACTTTGCACATCAAAGTCTTTAGTTTTTTATACATTCAGCGGTGGACTTGCTGATGAGCTTTAGACCTTTGTCCTGCTGCATGACCCAAGTGCCTTTGAGCATAAGGTCACATGATGGCTGGATTTTCTTTTTCAGTATTTGTTGCAGCGCCAAACGACTGACCCGCCCATCTTCAATCAAACCTGCAACAAGTCTCTGGAAATGTGGAAGGTTTCTTCCTTCTTAAAACCCATCTTTAAAGAAATGCACTGAACCATCAGAAAACATAAAAGCAGTTTTTATTGCAGGGCCCTTTTCTCACATTGTCTCCAATGACTTTGGTGAATAGTTCTGATTTCTAAAGTATGAATGATTACTAAATTTGCACTGTTCACATTGGGGAGTTTATATTTAAGAAAGCTTATGAACTCTGCAAGATTTTTACAAGATAGTGATTCAATAAATGTATTCAAATTGTCTTGGCACATGTGAAGTTTGAAGAAAGCACTAATTCAACTTGCAGCAGCTCAGCACAGTTCTCTGTTAACCTTGTTAGCCAAACAAAAGGTCTAACCATGCTCAAAGAGTCCCGCTGTGAAGGAAGTGGGTTAAAGTTACCAAATGCTCACATTACAAGGCTAATGGGGAAAAAAACCCTTAATAACAACAAAAAGAGTGAAATTCTTTTCTTTCCTCCAAGCTTTGTAATCTACATCCAAGTCTTTGACTGTTAAGCTTTTGTGAGAGAAAACTAGTTCTTATAAAGCCGACAGGGACTGCATGTTTTGTCATTCATTGGGGGGGTGAGTCCAGTAAAATCATGTGATGAGCAAACACTTTATGTTGAACACAGAGGCCCTTTAAATTGGCCATGCTTGGAAGCAAAAGTGATTACCTAAGATTGTCTTTATTTTGACTGTCTTTCTTTTTCTTTTTCTTTTTTTTTGCTCTGTGTTTGGAGGCTGTTATTGGAAACCTTGGATGGAGGCTCTGATTGTTTATTCTGACCTCCTCTTTTCATGGAGACCTTCACGTGACAAAGCTGTTAGAACAACAGAGAAAACAGGGCAGGAATACCACAGGAGCCCTGCCGACTGCCCAGACGATGGATGGGTGACTCATGCAGAGAGTTAAAGTAAGATCTGTGAGAGTGTGCAATCCTTCACTCTTTATTTAAAAGTACTCAAATTGTCTATGTCCAATAAGTCACTTTTCCATCAGGCATGCGGGAGGCATTAATTGTCAATAAAGAAGCAGCATCCAGAGCAACCACAGCATTTTTGCCTAATAGGAGGTATGGAGATGGTCAACACGTTTAATGACTGCCTCCTTTTTACAAAAACAGGAAGGAAGGAAGGAAGGAAGGAAGGAAGGAAGGAAGGAAGGAAGGAAGGAAGGAAGGAAGG